ATTAAATCTCTTATGGTTACAGCATTTTATAATAGATACTGTGTGTTACCTTTTCAAATATATGTAGATCACCTCACTTCCTCACAGTTCCTCTACGTTTTCTTCTCTTAAAAAAAAAAAGAGCCGGCGGGGTGGCTCATGCCTGAATCCCAGCACTCTGGGAGGCCGAGATGGGTGGATCCACGAGGTCAGGAGTTCAAGACCAGTCTGGCTATCATGGTGAAACCCCATCTCCGCTAAAAATACAAAAAAGCCGGGTGTGGTGAGGTGCGCTTGTAATCCCAGCTACTCGGGAGGCTGAGGCAGGAGAATCATGTGAACCTGGGAGAAAGAGTTTGCAGTGAGGCGAGATCCCACCATTGCACTCCAGCCTGGGCAGCAGTGCGAGACTCCATCTCAAAAAAAAAAAAAAATCCGAAGAGCTTACCAAGGCCTTCAAAAAGACACCGTGGCCCCTGGTGCATCACTGTCCTTAGATCCTTCCTCTCCTCCCACAGCCCACTTGGCTGCCCCACCCCCCAATCCCTCCGGATCCAAGCATGCTTACGATCCCCAGGACTCTGCCTTGCGTGTTTCCTCTCCCCATACCTCAGTGAGCCCGGCTCCTACACGTTCTCTTTAGGAGGCGACACTTAACACCCTATGTAAGATGGCGCATGTGTGCACACACACACCTCCTCCCTTATTCCATCTGCTTACCCCACGTTCTTTTCATAGCATTTGTTTCCTTCCACTTGACATATCTGTGGGTCACCTTGTTTGCCACTGGCAGCAACATTGTAAGCCCCATGACGAAAAGGAATTTCTTCTATTAGGAATTCCCAGCACCTATATCAGTACATGGTACATGTAGGCACTTATTAAATATGTGTCCAAAAGAAGTATTAAGTAGTTGTTATGAACCAGAAACTCTGAAAAATCCTTATCTTTGCATTGTTTTTTTCGTCTTTACAGCCAATATTTGAGGTAGGCAAGAAGAGCTGTATTTCAGAGATGAGAGCTGATGATTAGGAGAAGTAAGTAGCCTCAGAGGGTTGGGTGCTGTGGCTTGTGCCAGTAATCCTAGCATTTTGGGAGGCCAAGGCAATTGGATTACTTGAGCCCAGGATTTTGAAACCAGTCTAGGCAGCATAGCGAGACCCTGTCTCTACAGGAAATACAAAATTCAGCAGAGCCTGGTGCCACGTTACTGTGAACCCAGCTACTTGGGAGGCAGAGGTTGCAGTGAGCTGTGATCACACCACACATTCCAGCATGGGCAACAGAGCAAGACCCTGTCTCAAAAAAAAAAAAAAAAAAATAGACTAACTTTGTAATAATTATGTTATTACAAAAATGTTATCTTAATACGGTATGCAGAATAAATTACAATGTGCACAGAATATATATCCAGAGTGAGCCACCAGTTAAAGATCCTTGTGATAGGTTTTCCGTTGTGAAAAATTGTCATCTAATATGTTGACACTAAAAATGGTTCCACATTCTAACATCAGTAACCAGAAGTGGAAACATATTTTCTGTTCTCTTAAATTTGATTGTCTCTATTTGCTTATTGCTATTCTTGACATTTAAAATAGAAATTTGCAGTATTCCAAACCTTTATCCCCACAGAGTTCTTGCAAAAACTAAAATGTTCTTTGGATATAAGATTCAGTGTTTTATGGCTTTTTGTCCCACTGTTGTTTTTAAAAATCCTAATCCTTAGATTTTCCTGAAAGGGACAGGGGCATTCTTGGTATCTTTGTAAAGTAATTGTTTATTGTCTTAATAGATTTGAATATCCTTTTAAATTTTGAGATGGCTTATCAGGTACTTGTTAAAAGATTGAAAATGAAACATTTCAAGTGTGAATATCTTAAATATTTCCAGTACTTGTTATATGTAAATGTGTATCATTAACCTTAAGGCACTTACGGGCTGAGCTGGGAGTTAATAGCAGGTGCAGGTACATTTTAAAAGTTAGCTAATAACTGCCAAGTAAAGGCTAAAGACAGAAATGCTGTAAAAATACCAGTGAGCACCAACATTCCCTTTCTGGAAGCCGTAGCAAGACCGTGAGACCACACTGGGGAGGTGGGTTTGATCTCGAGGCAGAGCAAAGAGTGCTGGGAGACAGCAGTGACTTCTGTCTTGGGAAGTGGAAAAGTACCAGAGTTAGGGTAGGAGTTTCCACAGAGAGCATTTGATGCCATATTTCGTTTGGCCTCAAACATCAAACTAGAGTGTTTGTAAGGGAAAAGCCTTGGGATTTGGGCATACATTGGGGTAGAGAGTGGGGTAGAGATGGTAGCAGGGACACCCCGGGGGGAAGGTATCCCTATGTTGCCCAGGCTGATCTCAAAAGGAATTTTTTTTAATATAAAGAAATGAACAAATCAGATAGTAACATGGATTCCTCTCAGTGAAGCTTATTTATATCTGCTAGTACAAATACAGCATTTGTAAAATGAAAGGCATTGCTCTTCACAGCTGTTCTAATGTTAATCGTGCTGCTTTTTAAACCACTGACATGATCGTTCCAGATGTAGTTTTAACATTTATTTTAAACTGCTGCACAACAGTTAAACCTTCACTGCCACTGTAAGGTTTCTACTCATTTGACCCCAAATGAAGCTTTAGAGGTAAAAATATTCTCAGCCAGGATGCATGTCCTTGTGCTTTATAATCCAACCTTCATTCCATATTTAAACAGAAACCACCTAAAAAATAACTATTTGTCAGTTATAGGAAGGTGATAGGGAGTTACAGATGCATTTTGTTTTGATCTACTCCCAGATTGGTGCTTGGTTTTGTGATTGCAAGACAATTTCAGAGATGCCCTCCTGGATTGGGTTGATTGTTATTTTTTTCTTTCCTTCAGGATCTGGATCTTTTAGGATGAATCTGTGATTAGACTTTTTTAATGTACTAAATGGATACTGTCAGATTTATAGTCTGTGAGTTAGTTTTTAAAGTTAATATGGGTAAACATTTTTCCAACAAGGGGAATGACTATTCATGTCCCAGACATTTAATCGAATGCCATTATCCTTTACTAAAATTTAACTTAGAGCCTAAATGTTCTTTGCCAGTAATTTCTGTATATTCATGCATTCTTAACTGAGTTCCCAGTGAGACCAGAAAAAGGACTGACATTTATACAGTCCTGATCAACCTTCAGGCGCTTCGTTTACTGAGTAGGCAACAACTCTGAGTTAATAATTATCCCCATTTTACTGCTGCAGAAGCAGAGGGCTGAGAGGGTTAACTATGTAATGTGACTCATGTCACACAGCTGCTGTATTCAGGACAAGATTCGAGGCAGACCTTTGGAATTCTGAGTGATGGAAGGCACATCATTGACCTTTCTGTAAGTTAAACTTGGGACCTCAGGAGCTGTAATTCAATGAATAAAATTCCTATGGTGCTTGAGTCTTTCTTGTTTCCAGTATTCTAGCTGATGGCATATAGAGAAAGGATTGGTGTGCTAGGTATAAAAAGCCCTATTTGTTCTCTGCTAACAACTTGTGTAGTACTGTGTAAGTAATGGTGAATCAGACTTGAACTAAGTGATCTCCAAAATCATTCGAAGGTCTAAAATTCTGTGATTCTAAGTAAAATGTCCTCATCAAGATTAGCAAATTGACCTTGTTGTAATTTTATGTCTGTACCCAGGATAACCCTGCATGCAGATGGATAGTCATGTAATGGCAATAAGAAATTAATATAAAAACCTTTAGGTGTCCAATTTTATCCAATTTGTTGAAATAAATTATATGTGTATTATATGTATATATACACTGAGAATTTTTATTTTATATATATGTATACACACACACACACACTCTAACAATTTTTGGTTCCCTTAGGCAATACAATATATTTGGCTGAAAATGTTACAATTTTATAATTTCCAAAGAATTAAAATCAAATCTTTCGTATTTTTTAAACACATTACAACTTAATAAAGAGTGGAGCACTAAAAAATTTCATCTAGACCTCTTCGTGATGAAACTTACAAGTAGAGCAAGGTAGAATTCAGGTCTTATTCCTCTTTCTGCTCTTTAAATGCTTTACGAGTAGTCTACTTTAAATAACTTTCTTTGAATGAACAAAAAGAAAAAAAAGAAACACAGAGACATACTTCGACTCTATGGAGGGAAAGCAGCCATGTAAGCTGCTCATACCATCTGAAAATCCAAAAGGTTTCTTTGCCTTCAGTGACAGGGAAAATGGAAGGTGGAGGAGTAGAGACGACGGAGAGCTTAGTGTTTGATACTGTGTGTTCATATTTCGCAATGTAATTCAGTGATTCTTGAGAAGTATTTTTGAGTGTAAGCGATGTCTTCTTCAGCACAAAACGTAGCATTTGTGGCAACTAGGCCAGGGAATCCATAGTTCCCTGAATCTATAACTGGTTAGAAAATGAGCACCTCTGGTTTTAACATTAAAGAGTCTGTATAGCAATGATATTTTATCAGAATCATTCACTACATTACTTATTCAGATAGAAGATTAAAAGCAGGCAGGGCACAGTGGCTCATGCCTGTAATCCTAACATTTTGGGAGACTGAGGCCGGTAGATCACTTGAGGTCAGGAGTTTAAGACCAGCCTGGCCAGTATGGCGAAACCCTGTCTCTACCAAAAAATACAAAAATTAGCCAGGCGCAGTGGCACATCCCTCTAATCCCTGCTACTCAGGAAGCTGAGGCACAAGAATGTCTTGAACCCAGGAGACAGAGGTTGCAGTGAGCTGAGATCATCCCACTGCATTCCAGCCTGGGTAACAGAGCAAGACCCTGTCTCAAAAAAAAAAAAAAAAATGGTTAGGCCAGGCGCGGTGGCTCACGCCTGTAATCCCAGCACTTTGGGAGGCCAAGGTGGGCGAATCACAGGGTCAGAAGATTGAGACCATCCTGGCTAACACAGTGAAACTCCATCTCTGCTAAAAATATAAAAAATTATCCAGGCATGGTAGCATGCACCTATAGTCCCAGCTACTCAGAAGGCTAAGGCAGGAGAATTGCTTGAACCTGAGTGAGCTGAGATCACGCCACTGCACTCGAGCCTGGGTGACAGAGCGAGACTCTGTCTAAAAAGAAAAAAAGATTAAAAGAGATTATTTGTAGCACTGAGATTCAAGCAGTACACACCAGTACAGTGTTATCAGTTTTTAAATTTCGAAAGATTCCCACACACTCAGTGAGCAATCACTGCTCTGAGCCATACTCCCAGGCCCTCTTCTGGAACCCCTGGGACTCCCCGACCCAGCAACCAAAGGCAAGATGCCTGGCTGTGCCCCATCAGGCCTGGCAGACGCTGATCATTTAGGCCTATGCTGGACCAATTGTTATAACCTTGCAATGATGACCTCTGTTTGTGTGGGCTTCTTTACGTATTTAGAAAATTATTTCATATCTTTATGTCCATTAATGCTGGGCTTATGAGTTTTTACTAAATGTAATGAAGGTGGATAACTTTTTACCTAAGATACATATAGGTTCTTTGGGTATATTTCCAAATTTAGAATGGTTTATACAAATGACATTTATCCGGTGGCAATGAAATACCAAAGGATTCAGTTTTGCTTTCTATTTTCCCCAAATAATATGTTTAAAAAAAAAAAGGTTGCTGCCAGAGCTGAAAGTGATTCATTCTCCTCCTTATGATAAACTCTATATTTCACACAAAGAAATATCTCTGTTCTGTTCTTCCCCAGCGCTGTGTAGCCATTCACATTCCTTTGCTGAGCTGTACAAGTAATTCTGATGATGCTAGCATTTATTATTTCCTAGTTACTCTGTCTAAGCCAATCTGTAAAATGTGTTACAGTTACATTTTAGATATCTTCAAGGGCCACCAACTTGATTAACTGACATTAATGACACTGTATTTTTCTCAGTATCCATTGGTAGCGAGCATCGTTTTTAGATGGAGAGAAAATGTGGTGTGGTAAAATGAGCAGCCTTTTTGTTTCACAGTTCTCAAATGCATGCCCTATATTGATAGTGTGAGCTGGGAATTCAGCAGCTGTGAGAAACCGGAAGCCAAAGCTGTGATCGGCAGACGGACGAGTCTGCTCCTGCCTGTGTCCTTTCTCTGTCCAGGTGAAGCTATTAAAGGAGCAGGAAAAATGTGAGGGGATCAGGAAAGCGTACTCAAATGTGAATCAAGGAGAAGAAGGGCTTGCTTGTGAGGAGTTTGAAGATGGTCTTGTGAACTCTCCCATCAGCTGACCTGCCAGCAGCGAGCCGCCTTCTCCTCCAGTTCCTCTCTTGGTGCCTGGCTCTTGGTGGCAGAGGCAGCAGCCCTGCTCTGTGCCAGGTCCTTGACCTCTGTAGACCGACAGCCAGACTTGACTTTCTCCTCTCCCTCAGCTGACCAGATTTCGACATTTCAGTTGGTCCCATGCCTGATTTCATGAAGGCACTGGCACTTCATCAGATGGCCCTGTCTCTGTGTTTGGGGACAGGGAGCAGACACAAGTCTCAGACTGTAAGAGGCAGGCTGGCCTGGCGTCGGGGCTATCAGCATCCAGCCCAGTGCAGGAAGGAGGCCTTTCATCTTTAGGCTCAGACAACTGGTTTGGATCCTTTTAATAAGTACTTCTTTCTGCACCGAAATATGAAATAATAATACCTTAGCCGCACAGCATAACCAGAGTGCCAAGACTATAGAAATGCCTCTCACAGATAATGCAGAGGAACTGTCCCCTTCCTCCCCGGGGAAGGAAGGAAAGTCCTGAACCACTTTTCTTGAAGAATTTGCTGGTCCTCCGAGGCAGCTGCAGAGCAGGAGGATCCAGAGAAGCCACTGAAGAGGCCTTGGGTTCAAATCTTGACCCTGTCGCTTACCAAAAGCCACGTAAACTCTGTGCACCTGTCCTCTCTTGCCTGTGAGGTCAGGTGGTGCAGCATATGGGTGTGAGGATGACATGAGTGCCTCGCTGCGTGCCTGGCACTCGGGAAGCTTTCAGTAAATAGCATCATTTTAAGAACTGAACAGGAGGCCTGAGCAAGGCTCTGGTTCATGTGCACGTATTTTGGAATGTGTTCAGTCTCTCTACGTTGAAATTTTCTCCACAAAGCTCAAAAGTATGTAGTCATCAGTTTCCTGCAGCTTCCTATTGCACAAACCATTTCCTGTTCCCAGGACTGCTGACACTAGGAAGTAAAGGGACAAACAGGCTGATGAAAAGGAGCCTCACTCCTGGGCTGGCCCCATTGTCAGCGGCAACAACACTTGCTCTTAAGCTGGCCAGGGGTCACCGCACCCTCCAAGACCCAGTGTTGAAAGCCAGTGTGTCACTGCGGGACCAAGTGGAAAAGGAGAGGCTGCCTCCCCCATCCCTGTCCTAGAAACAATGGACCTGGCAGGAAGGAAAGTTAGCGGAGGGAGCCTTGGCAAGCCCATCTTCTAGAAGGTCCAGGAGCTCACCATGCCTATTAGATTCCATGATATTCTAGCACTGAGAGTTGTGGGCTGACCCAGGGTTTAAAGTGTGATGTCCAAGCAACTGTTGGGCTGCATTACGCCAGCCCGAGGGCTTCCTCCAGCCCCTGCCCCGAGGTGACCACAGCTGCAAGTGCAGGAGAGAGAAGGAGCCGGAAGAGGGTGTGCCCCACCTGCCCACTCAGCAGACCTGCTTTTGGCTTATTTCACTAGACAATTTGAAAGCAAGAAACAAGCTTTAATCAGATACCATGGGAAAACACAGCCCTTGTTTTGAAGAACTTAAAATCTGAAAGTGGAGAGACAAAAATCTACGTGCTTCATGAGTGGATTCTGCAAGCTGATGTTACTAGATCTCGCAGGAAGCAGCAAGACAGCAGTGGCTCCTTCTGCTTTCCCTGCCCCTGCCTTGAAATGAGCTTCATCTCTCCTGGTGACCCCCTAGAAATTTCGCTTCAACAAGACTAGGTCCCTAACATTATGACTTCTGTACCTGCTAATCTGTCACCACCTCCCAGCCCCTGGGCCACACCTGTAGCCTCCAGCAAACTTACCAACGCAGTCAGGACTTTCTCTCAGTGGTTTTCAAGGTATCAACATGGCTTTCAGAGCATCACCTCCAAATGAAGGCCAGGACACACACAATTAAATGAAGGTAGTTGAAAGGAAAAAAGGAACTTTCAAGTAAACATTTTTGAGATTCAGTTATGAGTCTTACTGCACTGCGAATCCTATAACCCATTGTAATACTAATCTCGAACAAAATTTCTATTTGCATCATGTGTTTTCTTGTTCACCAAGAGGGCAGCATGTTACCAATAGATACCTGGGGACGTGATTCAGTCTGAGCTATAATTGAATCCCTGACATTATAAGGAATTTGGTAAGAATTTTCCTCTTGAAATCTATTTTTATGAAAGTGACTTATTGTGTACCTCGTATGTAATGATAATGCACTAAGGGTAATGCCAGAGACCACAGCAAAAACCTAGATGATCTGTTTGACACCAGATTTCTCCAAAGCAAGATCACTCTCACATCATTGAGCTGCCGTTCACTTAGTGAGCCACACAAATCTGAATTCAGCACAAAGCGTTCCCTCTTCATGCTTCCCCTGACTTAAGCCTCAAGCTCAGTAGCTCCCGCCTCGGCCCTCTCCCATTCTCTCTGTCCTCATCGTGGTCTGCGGGTCTTTTCCCATCCTCCCCACAGTCTCTCCATGCAGAGTTTCCGAGGGGCCCTGAGTTACACTAACCTTGAAACTTGCTGGTGTAATGTGATAGAATTTCTTATTTAAAATATAACATGTGCATATGAGCACAATATGAACACCCCATAACCTTGTTCTTAATGTCTCCCATCCAACTTCCTGGATGTAAGACTGCATTTTAATACAGCTTTCTAAAAAATTGCTAACATACCAGCTGGATACAATGACTCATGCTTGTAATCACAGCATTTTGGGAAGCCAAGGCAGGCAGATCACCTGAGATCAGGAGTTCGAGACCAGCCTGGCCAACATGGCAAAACCCCATCTCTACTCCAAATACAAAAATTAGCTGGGCCTGGATGCCAGGCGCCTATAATCCCAGCTACTTGGGAAGCTGAGACAGGAGAATCGTGTGCACCCAGGAGGTAGATGCTGCAGTGAGCCGAGATCACGCCACTGCACTCCAGCGTGGGCAACAGGGCAAGGTCTTGTCTCAAAAAAAAAAAAAAAAAAAAATTGCTAACATAATTTCTCATTGTTATTTACCCTTCATTTGACATTGTATTCCATAGTCTCAACTTTGTCTTGACAGCATTCATTCAAGGAAAGAAGCGGGGTTTGCATGAGGAAAAAGAGAGCAAAGGAAAAAATTTCAAAAAAGGAAATTTTCCTCCCTTCCCCCCAAAAAAATTCTCCTTTGCAGGAAAATGAACCTAAAAGCAGTTTTGTTTTTTGAAACAGTTTTCTAAACACACACACACACATACACACAAACACACACACACACACACCCCCTGTGTTTCATGGCCTGTGTGCCACTTCTTGCCTGCTGGCTCAAGGTCTGGCTTCTTTTCCACCCCATCGTGTCAGGCAGGTCCAGCCCTCCTTTATGTCCTAAAGTTCGTGCTGGTGCCAGGCAGCTTCAGATTCTGTGCCCCGTTTGAAATCATTTACAAAATCTGAATTGTTGAAAAAAAGACCCTGGCTTCTGAGTAATGCTAACCACTGTAAAATATTAGAAAACATTTCAAAATGAGTGGGTCCTTGGAGCTGTCATTTATTTTTCACTGGAATTGAATTAAATTACCGGTCAACATCACAAAGCTAAAAAACTTTGTCATTCACCGTATCTTTTCCCCCTTTAAGAATGAAAAGGAAGCCCCAGAGCTGGGGAGAAAATCTTCCTGCTAAGCAAACCTCACAACCTCACGGTGTGTTCTACCTGGGCCTGACCCGCACAGTAACCAGAAGCTTCCTCAGCCCAGCAGTTTCAACCAAGTATTTCAGGAACCCAGGTTCACCCCTGGCAGTGACAAGCCTCGGGCGATTTCAGTCATCAAGTGTCTCTGATCCCCAGATTCTTACAAGGGAACTTTGCAAAGCTTGTAGTCTCTCCTTCCTAATTTAATTTAAACTGCACCTGTGATAAAGAGGTAAGTGTGCGGCTTCTCCCTAATGCTACCACGAATTTCTATATGACACGGATCCTCCTTGGGGCTGAGAGTGAAGTGCGGGAAGTCTAAAAAGAACTGTGTCCATCCCCTGTGTCCCAGGGCTTCTCCAGGGAGCTGCCATCTACCCAGCCCCTCCCACCTGTCCTCGTTTCTCCTCGGCCAGCCCCCAGCATGGAGGTGCCTACTGCCCCCACAGTGTCTCTGCCAGACTCTTCCAGGGCCCAATGCAGAGCCAGGCACAGCTTCCCCAACCTCTCCTCATCCCTGCTGCCTCCAAAACAAACACAAATTAGAAAAGGGACAAAAGAGTTTTGGTTATAGGAAGGTCAAAGAGTTTTAAAAATTACCAGCATTGGGAAAATTACAAGGTTGCTAAAGAATCTGAAAAAACTACCAACAGCGGTTCCCAGAGCCTGACCTCATTTATGTTTCAATGGAAACCTGGGTCAACTGCTCTGAATATTTCCCAAGGATTCTTACCAATCTTTTGTGTAGTTAGAGGTCAGTCTTGCGGGCACCTTCTCTGTTACCAAGCTGTGCCTAGCTCTTAGGTCCAGGCTCAATCCCTGACCCTTTAACAGAGAAGACACTTCTCCTTCTCCCCTACAAAGGCCTCACCCTTGGGCTTTAGGCTACTTGTTTTGACCTTCAGTTTGCCACCATGGTCTATCATGGGGGCCTCTTGGGTGAGGTCTTAGGGATCTGCCCTCCAGCCCCTCCCCAACTGACTTCTCCTCTAGGCCACTGTTCCCTTGCAGTTGCCTTCCGTGTTCCTCCCAGATAGCTCTGTGCCTCCGGCGTAGAGCACGATGCGGGTCTCTGTCATTGAATTAAAATTGTCCCAGTGAGGCAATACAACACAATAAGGGAAAGCTGTGTCTCAGCTGGGTGCCATCGGGCAGGCAGCTTGAGCTCAACAGTCCTCAGTTTTCTCTGCTGCAAAATGGGAATCCCAATTGTGACAGGGAATTAAAAATTGGGACCACAATTCACTCTGCCAAAAGAAAAATTAAGCTGAAAGCTGAGTCATGCAAGATGCAGCCTTTCCCTTTGTTTCTAAGCAGAGACCTACAGATAAAAGGTTAAACATCTCCACAGATAGCTTCTCTGTGTTCACCTTATGTTACGTAAATTGCCAATTTACCGAGCATGATTTACTGAGTGCGAGAGGAATACATAACGACTATTCCCCTACCTGCTTTTCTCTTTTCGCCTTTAAATGCTGAAGCCCTCAAAATCATCACTGGAGAAAGGCACAGACCACAGATTGTTTCTGTGATTCCATGTTTATTTCTCTGGCATGTCCTTAACCTTGGCAAAATCAACTTCTAAATTGATTGAGACCTGTCTCCAAAACTTTTTGGTTTACAAAATAATGTCCACTTTATCATACTATTGTGAGGCTGAAATTGGGCAATCCTAAGACCTTAACCTATGCCTGGGTACAATGACTGCTCAATACACACTGGTTCACATTATAATTCTTATTAACATCTTTTTTTAAAAATCAGCCTGCTCACTGATTTTTATTCTTTCTTAAAAAAAAAAAAATAGACTACCTTTAGACTGCCTCCTTTCGTCTTGCACAATGTGAGGCGCTAGGGGTAGAACGGGAAGTAAATGTCTCTGCCTTCAAAAGGAATTCTGCAGAGTGGGAAAGAGGACAAGTGCCAAAAATCACAGAGCAGTGAGCTCAGTCTTGCAATGGGAATATTCCTGGGCTCCTGTAGGAATGTTGGATGAGAAGCAACTAACTCCGCCTGAGGACAAGAACAGGGAGAGGTGGTGCACACAAGACTGCTGGAGGAGCTGACACGTCAGACTGGAAACAACCGGAAGGGAACTGCACAGGGGAAAGGAGGGAAGAAGGGCCTGCCCGGAGCAGTCTGCACTGACGGCTGGCCCTGCACCCCAGGCCCTGGGCTGGGTCAACAGGTGTTCAAATTTAATCTGTGGATCCAGTCTCCTTAGTAGTCATGCAGACTCAGCAGATAAAAGCATTCTGGAGTCTGCTTCTGTGAACGTCCATCTCTCAGCCTCAAAGCTCTACCTCCAGATGAACCTTCCTTCACTGCACTGGGCTTCACCTGAGGAACATAATAATCATGTGACTCGCACTGTCTGTTTTCCACATGCCCGGCACAATCGGGGCCTTTCCAGCATCATCTTGAAAGCAACCCTGTGTGGCCATCTTGTCCCGTATCAAATTCAGGCTCCAGGCAGTTTCTACGTTGGTTCTTGGGCAAGTAACCTCACTGTGCCTCTGTTTCTTCATCTTCCAGAGAGGATGCCCATCCCACCCCACAGGTTAACAAGGGGGCAATGGGAGTTAATATACGCAGAGCCCTTAAAACAGTCACCAGCACATAGTAAGACCTCAGTAACTGCTATTCCTGTGCCACTGCATGTGCCTCTAGGTTTTTTTTGGTTTTGCTTGCTTGTTTGTTTTTGAGATGGAGTCTTGCTCTGTGACCCAGGCTCAAGTGCAGTGGCCTGATCTTGGCTCACCGCAACCGCTGCCTCCCAGGTTCAAGCAATACTCCTGCCCCGGCCTCCCAAGTGGCTAGGATTACAGGCACCCGCCACCACACCCACCTTATTTTTGTACTTGTAGTAGAGATGGGGTTTCACCATATTGGTCGAGCTGGTCTCAAACTCCTGATCTCAGGTCATCCGCCTGCCTCGGCCTCCCAAAGTGTAGGATGACAGGCATGAGCCACTGCACCTGGCCTGGTGCCTCTAGGTTTTTGACCCATTTCCAGAGTAGTAGGAAGAGGAAACTATTGATAGCAGCTCGAAATTGGTTTTCTCTTGCTCTTGGGCACATAACTAATTTCCATTTCCCACTCCCATATGGCCCTGTGCCTGAGTGCCAGCCCATAGAACAGGAGTGGTACTCCTTCCAGCCTGGCCTGCAAAGCTGGCCCCTGCCTTCACTATCAGCTGTCTCATTCAGGCCACAGGGAAAGGAGATGTGTTGAAGATGTGAGTCCCAAAATGAGGGCATGGAGGTTATTCGTCAGGCCTGTCCCCTGCACAGTTTCATTGCTTAAATAAGAAATAAGCCTTCACACGCTTGGTGAGCAGCTGGCCAGCTTTTACTAACACATGTGTGTCCGGAGCTCAGGGAAGGGCCAGCCTTATGGGAGATACAGCTGTGGTCTGCCCAGCAGGCTCCACTTCCTCCTCCCAGTAAGAAACTCCGTCTCTTGTGCAAGAATCTACGACATGATTTGCTGTGGCTTAATTTCTGCACCACAAAATCAGCAGGCAGTGCACACACAGCTGAGGCTCCAAGCCCTTGGCCCATCATCGGTTCTGGGATGGCCTCTTGACCCACAATCAATTATTGTGTTCTAATCAATTATTGCTGAAGCGTTCAGAAGAAGGGGATCTCTATTTTTGGGTGATACTGCTAGCTTTAGAGGATGCAGATATTCTAGGGATCCTAGTGGCCATGACAAGTGATTGCCAAAGAAAGAAGCCAACACAGGGGAAGCAAAGCCCATGTGGAAGAACACTTCCTTAGGGCATCGTTTCAACTCCAGCATCCATTAACCTTTGATTCACTGTCCTCCTACCTGGGTAATAAGCCTCCTTTGTGATTAAGCTGATTAAAGCCAGTTTCCCCAGTACTTCCCAACTTACCAGCTTTGCCCATGACCTCCAGTTCCCTGGGCCTCAGCTACAGACCCTCTAACACCTGCCTTGAGAGCTATGTTAATAATCTCTTCTTCACATTACGTAAAATACTAAAATTCCTTAAATAATCAGTGACTGTAACAGTCTTCACATTACGTAAAATACTAAAATTCCTTAAATAATCAGTGACTGTAACAGTAACTTCCACTGAGGGGAGAATAGTGTTAGTCACATGTGGTCTTGACAGATGATACTCCTTCTTAGGAAGGGAGCCTTGAGATATATATAAATATATGCGCGCTAGAACAAACAAGGTCCCATTAGCACGAACTCAGTAGAACTGCCCCTCGCCCCTTGTTTTTCATTGTGCTGAACTTCTGTCCTATTAAAGATTTTTTAAAGTAAACGGTGAATATGGGGAGTTTGGAAATCGTCACATATTTCCTTCACAATGTGTTTCCTTGTACTAAAATGTAATTAATGATACTTTTATCTGTTTTTCATTTAAGCAACAGAGTTGCAACCCCAGAGATTTACAAAATCAGAAGTATAAATTAATTTTTACCATTAATTATACACACCATCCTCCCAGCCTTTGCTTTAGTCTTGTGATTAAATACAGGCTAGCCCCAATATTTGATGGGACAGCTCTGTAAAGTGTGTTTCCACTGTGTCTCAAACACGAGAATACCGGGCTTGTATTTTTGAATTTTATTTTGAAATTCTTACTTGTATAAACCAATCCTTTATCAAAATAGAGAATTTTCCAAAGCTGCTTAACTTGTCACTCTCCTCTTCTTTCATTGTGGTGAAAACCAGCCTGGCAACTTGACATTCAGGTTTTCTTTCTCCATATTCATTTTCAGGCTTTGAGTTCATTAACTCAGTGAAACCACACTAAGGAAAAAAGATTTTTCTACCCTCCTCTCATCTGTTGAACTTTGGCTTCCTTCACTCTCCCTTGGCCTGCACACCCCAGCTGCTCCGAAATAAAATGTCAGGAGACTAACCCCGTGAAGAGTCTGTAAGAAGGGAGTTCAGATCAATCTCCTTCATGCTGGGGGGAGGAGAGGGCTGGGAGTGCTTGTTTGAAGTATACAGACTTTCTGCTGTGGATAATGACAAAGTTCTGGAAATCGTTGGTGATGGTTACACAACATTGCGTTTGTAGTTAATGCCAATGAATTTTACACTTTAAAATGGTCAAATGGTAATTTTAAAGTATATTTTGTCATTATGAAAAAAATCTTCATGCTTCCTGTCTTGTATATTTGTATAAATTACTAAATATGCTTGCATCACTCATATAGATAGCAGGAGCTAAGAAGCCTGAAGAAGTCCGTCAAATAGAACAGGCAAAGAAATTTTGTTCCTTAAAAAAGTGCCGGACAGAACAAAGCACACACATCCTTTGTCAACTGTCTTTGGGAAACCGGCTCTGTTCGCTCATGCGCAGAAGGAAGCCGGGCAGCCAGGATGTCAACAGGGGCAAGATGAATGACCCCCTGGAGGCCGCAGGGTTTGTGTTCGAGTTTCCACCACCTTTTCATCCTTTTGTCGCGCTCTTGATTCACATGCAGATTAGCCCAGATCAACTCCTCTCTAAATACTCTTTTCACTTTGGCTGGAAGGTAGAAAGCTCATCTAAATATGCATGAGGCTTTTCTCCCAGGATTCTGATGCGCTCTTGTTGGTTGTTGAGGCATTGGGTTAATGAATGCGCGCCTGCACATACCGACTCAGAAACCAGGCGTGCGCACGCGCACGGGCGCACACACCACACACACCACACACACACACCACACACACACACCACACACACACACAACACACACACACACACACACGCACACACAGCTTTGTCAGATCCTCGTTCAGCACTCACCAAACAGTTCCCATGAAAAGGAAGATAGGAGACAGGGAGGAGGAGAGCTTTAAAATCTGTTGCCAGGGGAGAAATAAAGGGTACAGCTGATACAAAAGAAAGAACAAAGTTTCATCTTTGCTTTCTGGAGTTGCAAATGTAACTGTTGTTTCAAGTCAGTCCCAATGTGAAATAAGACAAGGCCATTGCTAAACCAGAACTGGCTGGCCTGGCTCTTCCCAGTGGTGAAGAAAACATTAAGGACAGAGTTTCTATATTGGAAATAAGTTGCAAATTTGAAAACAAGGAACTCATCAACAGTTTCTTTAAGCAGGGCTTTATGCAAATTCCTTTACCAGAGACCGTGTGAGCCTGGATCCCAGAAGGGGGTCGTTATATTATATGGCCGCTTACAGTGTCTTTTTCCCTCTGTCTGTTCTGTGGTTTTTAGATGCTGTTTTCATTAGGCTAGCTAAATTCCACTTTAAGATTAATTCACCCTAAATGTGTTTGCATGAAATTATATCGAGTTATGGCTTAGAGTGTAAATCATCTTTAATTATAGGTAATCTTTATGATATTTTAACAGATAAGATAATATATTAGCACACTGGAACTGAGGTGCGGACATATTAATGGCCTTAATATCACACTGCCAGAAACAGTCATCTTTCCAACCTTTAATCATCTCCTTTGCCTGTGCCTTCCTTCCCATTCTTGGTGAGCACAGAATGCCCAGCAGCACATCAGGCCCTGGTCCGGAAGGGCCCGGGGGCTCTGTCGCTAGCTTTCAAATTTGTGTATCATAACAGTAGGTTGAAAGCATATTTTTTCTGTGTGTGTGTGTGTTTTCTTAATATAACCCTTCAACTGATACTGGTTTTCATTTGTAGGTTTCAATATACTAAAATATGAAGACTTTGTTATTTTCAGAATTCCTTCTGGATTCAAGCAATGAATAATTAGAGTAGCTCTCTTCATCTATCTTCACAGGGTACAAAAAGATTGGGAAATCCTGCTTCAGGCCCACGCGGCTTCTCTAGCTGAACAGAGGCAAAGCAGAAGTAAATCTCCAACTTCCCTGAAGCACATGGAAGGCTTCCCTATGCATTTTGTGACAAACTGAAAATTAGTTGTTGATAATATTTCTTTCACATGAAAGGGCAGAATGTACTCTGTTTTCCATCCCAGCCCCCGCCCCAAATAAAATCTGGTTATTTGAAGTCCATATAAATAAGTTACTCTGGTCTATTATATAACTATTGTTGTCATCAGCATTACACATTCTTAGCCTACAACCAGGGTGTCTTTATGTTTCATCAATAAAAACTAAGGCGGAAAGTTCATGCGGAAAACATTCAGTCTTTTATCTGTTACACTGACAGGGAATTATCATACTCAGCATTATTCCCTGGCCATTTATTATTGGCTTGTCTGAATGAATAGGTACCTGGCTCTAAGTAAGTTTAAAGAAAACGATATCTACGCTTTTTAAAAGACAAATTTAGTGAAAGAGTTCAAAAGTTCTTCCAAATTCCTCCTGGGGTTTGGGGGGAATGCATTGCTTGGAAGGCATTTCAGAAGGGCATTTTGTAGAAAACTCTGGCAATCAGTGTGGGTATTCAGTAAATTTTTGAGTGAATGTTGGATGGCTTTGATTAAGTAAATTAAATGCACATGCACACATTTAATCATCATTTTATGCATAAGCAAATATCTATACATAAACAAAACTACTACCTCTACTGATGGTGGACCTCTGAGTTCAAGTGTGTCCTCACTTCAAGTGGCTGCTGGCTGTGCTGGGGTGTCGCTGCCGGGTAGGTAGGGACCACCACACGTCCATCACCAGGTCTAGACAGACACTGGCTTCCTCCCGGCTGGCACTCAACAGAAAACGGTGGAGCTGACCTTTCAACCGCGACAGTGGATGGCCCTGATCTGCGTGGAGTAAGTTGAGGGTCAAGAAGAATTTGTTGACTAAAAATATGTTCTGAGCCAGTGGACTTGACTTCTTTTAACAAAAACATTAATTATGGACATATTAAGAAGTAAAATTAAAGTTTAATTTTGCTTAAAGTTGTTAACCTTTAATATGTAGATTATATATATATACACACACATACATATATATACATACATATACACATACATATATCATTAGCAATTATCAATTGCTAATCTCTGACTGAAATTACTGTGTTGGAATAACCTGAGCAGGAAAAAAAAGGCTATTTTTTGTTTTTCAGTTTTGGTTGTTTTTTGTTTGTTTGTTTGTTTGAGACAGAGTCTTTCCTCTGTTGTCCAGACCGGAGTGCAGTGGCACAATCACAGTTTCCTGCAGCCTCTGTCTCCCGGGCTCAAGTGATCCTCCTGCCTCAGCCTCCTGAGTAGCTGGATCTACAGGCGCACATCACCAAACCCAGCTAATTTTTGTATTTTTGTAGAGTCACAGTTTTGCCATGTTGCCCAGGCTTGTCTGGAACTCCTGAGCTCAAGTGACCTCCCTGCCCCTGCTTCCCAAAGTGCTGCAATCACAGGCGTGAGCCACCATGCCCGGCCCAGGTCTATTTTAAAACACAGAATCCACAAAGGAAGGAAAAGGTCAGGCCTTTACAACAGTGTTCTGTGGAGGAACATACTAGAATATACTGGAACAGGGTTCCCTAAAAGCTAAGATACAGCATTTTTTTGGAAAGCATGGGGAGGTGTGAGGTAGCACACAAGAGAAATGACCAGCAGGGCAGAGGGAGCTGAGGACAAACTGTTCAGTGTCGAAGTTTGTCTGGGAAAATGAAACTAACACGAAAACTGATTTTTTACCTATAAAATTGAAAAGTTTTCATTATATTATCCATGGTTAACAAGGAGAAGAAACAGACATTCTCATACACTGATGGCAATACTATAAATTGATAGATTTTTGCAAGGCTGTTTGGTAATAGTTACCAAAAAATTTAGGTTGTGTGTGTTGAGGAGGGCTATAATTTCACTTCTGGGAATTTGTTTTGTAGAAATAATCATGAAAGAGTAAAGTTATATCAATATTTTTATTTTAAATAGAAAAACATAGAATTTTTATCTTATCAGTGTTATTTTATTTTACTTTGCTTAGCTATAATTTCCATCAGGAATTGACTATATGATAAGATATCACCAATATTATTTATTAAGAAAAAAGATGTGTCCATGGTTGGTGGTCTCCTTCGGTGTTTGTTGATTGAAAATTTCTCTTCCAGGACCTTCATGGAAACGACTTCAGTGTCACAGAAATATATCCAAATATGGAGGTAAATCCTATATGTGAAAAACAGTGCCTCTCCTGACACCAAAACAAAACGTGAGAATTTCAGTGAAATAGTCATGTGTTGAGTAAAGTGCACAAAATTTGAAAAGTTTAAAAAATTCAAATGTATCTTTCAGAAACCAGTATGTAAATGATTTCTCATTTACCTTTTTAAACACAATTAAATACACACAAAATATAAGCAACATTTAGCATTTTCAGTCTCTAACTTGGAGACCTCCTCTTTTATCTAACTGCTCTTTTCTTTCTAGTACAGCTTCATTACCACAGAGTTTCATGAAGTAGAAAAACTTTGCTGAACCTGTTTTCTGAAACCAGAACCTGACCAAATCTGTATTAAAATAGTAAGGAATAACTGAAAATATCTACATGAAGTCTTAACTCAGAACTGAAGTGTTAAAGTGATCGTTCTGCATTATCTCCTTCTCACAAAGCGTTATCTCATGGCATGACTTTTGTTCCCAGGCATTTTCAAACATTTGATCCCTGAAGCTTTCGCCCAGCTCACTGCAAGTTTTAAAAATACTGCCTGGGGCCGGGCGCGGTGGCTCACGAGGTCAAGAGATCGAGACCATCCTGGTCAACATGGTGAAACCCCATCTCTACTAAAAATACAAAACATCAGCTGGGCATGGTGGTGCGTGCCTGTAATCCCAGCAACTCAGGAGGCTGAGGCAGGAGAATTGCCTGAACCCAGGAGGCGGAGGTTGCGGTGAGCCGAGATCACGCCATTGCACTCCGGCCTGGGTAACAAGAGCGAAACTCCGTCCAAAAAAAAAAAAAAAAAAAAAAAAATACTGCCTATTTCAGAGTGATTACACATCATTCTCAAACATGATAGCAACTGGCAGACCAGCCCCCAGCTGTTTCCATGGAGACACTGGGAGTGGCAGTTACACATTGTGAGATTTCTCCAGCCTAAAACTGTTATTGCCCTAGACTGAGACGTGTTTCACAGCAAAGCCTGAATCCAAACTGAAATTAAAAGTTTCCTGGCTAAGTGCCAGATTCAAAACCACCCTGACCTGTCTTCCTCTGTTCTCTGACAGTGTGGACGTGTACAAACTCGTCTGAAAAGAGTTGCTTTGTAAACAGGGAGAAGCTATCCAAGAAGTATTCTCACAATGAAATAGTCATTTTGTTTTGTCCATATTGACAAACGACCATTCAATTCAGCGGGAGGAAAAAACAAACAAAACATTTTCTTTTTAAAATTTGTAATGAGTTCACTTAATCATTTTTGGTTAATTGTGTTAGCCATATAGTTGAATCTTAAATCTGAATTTTCATAACCTAAGGAAGGAGTCCCACTGTGATGTTTTACATTACAATCATTTTACTGTAATCAATATTTAAGCATATGGTAAATGCAGCTAATATGTGTCATAAACACTTGAAATGAGTCACAGAACTCATTTCACCTGGAGGCTGTGGAAGAGCCCTGGGCTTCCGCATTTCCTTCCCTGACTCCTACAATGTCCGCCAGTCCACCTTTAATAGTTTTGTATGTTTCACTTTCTAAAACAACAACAACAAAAATGCAACTGGAAAATCACAGATCCATTCTAGCCTTTTACTCACTTCACCCCTGTACAGCATTGCACAAAGACATGGAAACCAGCACAGATCACATTTGGAGCCTACCAGCCATGGCTACTTGCCTTCAAGGAGCATTTATGTCTTTTAAAGCGTTGCTGTACTTTAGCTTAGTGGCAGCCTTCTTTCCACCATTTTAGCATCTGCCATCAATTTTTCCATAAAAAGCCAAGTGCCAGATCTTGGCTTTTCTTGACTGTTTAAGCTCATTGATATCAGGAAGAAAATGAGGAGTAAGACTTATAGAATCTTACATTTTAAGGATAATTCATCTATAAAATCATTCAGTTTCCCTGAACTATGTGAATGGAATTTGTTTGCATAAATGTAATTCCACCAAAGACTTCTAAACTGTGAACTAATTACATGATCTAATTCTGGAGCTTTCCCAAAATTAATCTCTGCATTAGTTATCTTTTGCTCCCTTTTTATGTGTCATCTTGCTTTTTCACATTCCATTAGGTATCAAAACCAAGGGAGGCAAAGTACAAGCTGTTTATATTTTACCAAGTCTCAAGATAATGCAAAATATTTTATACTAGTTAGAACTGCAGAAGAGCCAGGTGATTCCTAAACCAATATTTTGGCAGGATGCAGAAGAGCAAATAATTACGGGTAACACCTTAAAACACTTATTAAATGAACCTCTGTGTGCACATATGTCTAGGTGTGTTGTGTGTATATACAGATATATAATGAGACATGGTTAGAAGGAACATTACTTCAAGCTGTTTCTTCACCTGCTGATGGACAGTGGGGAAGTCACCTCACTTTTCTGAACCTTAGTTTTCTAACCTAAAATTACAGCTAACAATGCTTGTTCTGTTTCCATCTTGTCATAAAAATCAAAGGAAGTAGTAGATGTGAAATTGTACTAATTACATATATAGGATCCATAACATGTAGTGGTGAATAACATAATTATCCCAATAACTCAATGGAGGACTCGGGGGGAACTGTTTGACTTTACTGAGCCTGTGTTTCTTCACATATGAAAATGAGATTGAAGTGGATAGAAGTGATATTGCAGCGTAACCTTGAGGACAGATTTCTTATAACTCTTTTGTTTTCTTAAATAACCAAAGCTAAATTTGAAATCGTTTTTTTGTTTGTTCATTGATTTGTTTTTGAGACGACTCTTGCTCTGTCGGCTAGGCTGGAGTGCAGTGGCCCCATCTCCGCCCACTGCAACCTCCGCCTCCCGGGTTCAAACGATTCTCCTGCCTCAGCCTCCCAAGTAGCTGGGAATACAGGCATCCACCACTACACTGAGGTAATTTTTGTATTTTTTAATAGAGATGGGTTTTCACCGTGTTAGCCAGGCTGATCTCAAACTCCTGACCTCAGGTGATCCGCCCGTTGCGGCCTCCCATGGTGTCAACTTGAAATAGCTTAAGCAAAGAAAGAAAAGGTTTTTATTGAAGGTCTCAAATAACCATGGAAAGGGCAAGGAAGCAACTGAGCCTCAAAACCCATTGGAAGCAGAAGCTGGAATGCTAACAAGACTTTCTCTTTTCTCTTCTCCCTGCATGTTATTTCATTCTCAGACAATCTTCCTGCACATGGCTGGATATGGAGCCACCAGCTACTCCTGCCCTCACATCTCACGACTGTGCTAAAAAAAAAAAAAAAATTGAACATCCTGGCTAAAATTGCCCACCTCCTCACCCCAAGCTGGATGCCAGCTGAAGAGTCCCAGGAGAAGGGCATTTGGCTTAGCCCAGGTCAGAGGCGCTGGATGGGAATGGATGACTAGAAGCCACCACTGGCACCTGATAGTTGGAGTGTGAGAGAAGCAGTTTTCCTAAAGAATGGAAGTCGTGTCCTCAGAAAAGAGGAAGGGTCCAAGGTTATGAAAGCGATAAATGCTCACGCAAAAGAGGGTTGGCCCAAGGTCTGGCCTTCTTGCCACTCTCTAGTGAGGGTGCCCTTAGCAAATGGATTAAGCTCTCTGTCTAGTGGGGAAAGTGAAACCTACCCCTGCCTTATGTGGTGATGTGAGGGGCAGATTACAGAACACATTGAAAGTGGCCTTGAAAAGTTTAAAGTGTGATACCAATGAAAGGTAAACTAAGTTATTTGGGTTCTCTCCCTGCATTTGGTCAGCTCCTGTAACGCAAACCATTCTAGGTTATAATCTCATGACAGTTCAGAAGCAAGAATTAAGGCCACTCGCTAGCTGTATGTGGTTGAGAAACAGCACTGTTTCAGATATTTTGTTTATAGTTAGAATTTTATTCATCACCTGTTAAATCATGCATAAGATTTACTTGGGGCGATCCCTGAAATTTTTTCAATTAGAAAAATGTAAATTACAAAGTACATTATTTATAATGCATACATGATTAACTATGTTTTAGAATATTACCTAAAGAAACCACAGAAGAATAACAACACAAATACAGATTCTTTGATACTATGCTCGTGTAAATGTTCTGCTTCTTCGCTTCAGGTCTCTTTGCAGAGTCTTCCATTCTTGATCAGTTTCCTCTGGGGCGACTCTCCTCTACAGGAAACCTGTGTTTGTTTGGCAATAGCTGTGCGTGCCCGTTGTGTGGAGTTTTCTGTGGCCCTGTGATGGGGGACTTTCATTCTGTACTTGGTTACTTCAATGTGTCAGCTAGATCTGGCTGCCCTGCACTGGCTCATGTGGGTGCCATCTCCCTGCTGTGCATCTCTGGTTATCTCACTGCCCACCCAGGTCCCTTGCACCCTTCGAGACTGGCTAAAGCCCACTGCTGTAGGCCATCTGTTCCACTGGCCCTGTTTCTTTGTGGAGCTTTTTGTATTTTGTGCGAATGTGTGATCTGACTGCGTTCCCTGGCGCTTCTCAAGCATAGCTTTGTGCATCTTCTCAAATTGCTACATGTGTACATTCGTCCCTCCAAAGGATTAAAACCTGAGTGAGTGCCAAGTTTCTCTGCAGGAGGAGTGGGTAGCGACCTTTGGTGCTGCCAGAAGAAAAGCATGCAGGACATTGTGGTAAAAGTGGGGTGCACAGCAGGCGCAGCCTGCCAACTCCATCCCACTGCCACTTCCCATCTGGGTCCCTGGCCTCACTGGAAATTGGGATCCGGGGACTGGAATACGTTTGTCTCTCTGAGCTGGCTGTGGGGCCATGATAGGATGAGCGCCTCTTGCCCATGGTTGCAGCGGGAGCACCAGAGAATACATGCTGAAAATAATATCCTGGGGTGAGGGCCAAGGTCATGGCCAATGAGTGAGTCCAAACCGTCTCATAAATTAACATAACTCTTGGAAAACTGGGAACTGAGTTAATGGAGCCAAAATGAGTGGTGTGGAGCCACAGGGAGAGCCACGAGTCTCCAGAGGGAGCCGGTACCACCAGCCACGCTGCCCAAGACTTCCAGGGCTTTGCCTCATGGGCGTGTAGGCAGCTGGGCCCACTGGGGCCAGAAGGGAGCCAGGCCCCTCAGACACAGCCAGGAAAGCTTGATTGTTCATGTGCTAGATCAGGCCACAGGTCTCCAGGGACTCCCCAAGTTGATTCTGTCCTCTAATTTAAAGCTTGTCACCAACAGGAAATTCTACTCTTTACTTATCCTAATCCCAGTCATGATACACACAGAGCCAATTTCAGGTCTAATCGTGTTACCTTTATCCAAGTAGAAATCAATCCCCATTTTTGTGTAGCTCTGCAGAACATCCAGAGTGCTTCAGTGCAGAGCAAAGCCCCAGCAGTTACAAGTGCCATCATCAGATGGGAGAAAGGATTTGATCACTCTGTGTGTGTGTGGAGTGCGAAGGGATGGGAGGTGAGTCTATGACAGTTTCCGTACTTTATCTGACTATCCATACACTTCCTCCTCTTCCCTCCTCTTCCTGTTGGGACATTTTTGTACATGCCACATTCCATAAGATTCCAAAGGAAATATGAGCCCTTTATGATTGTCTAAATCAGAGTCCAATTGCAGGGCTGGGCTTTCTGTTACAAATTCAATCACAGAGTAGAAATTAACCATACACTTTAAAAAATGCAACATTTCAAACCCAAGTGTGACTCTGCTCACTTCTACAATCTTGTTGGTCTATAACTGCATGCCTGACTCCTACAAAGGCAGAATTGTATTGCTGTCTGCTACTCACACACTAGATTGTTTAATTCTTTAAAAAATTTCTGACAGAGAAATTGAATATGTATATGACTGTCTGAAGTTTGCACACATTAGTAATTTTGATTGATTGGTGATTGAGGGACTCTTTCTCTATTTTTTGGCTTTGAAATGCCACAAGTTGGGTGGGGGGGAATGTCCATGTCCTTCTTGCTGTTCACATTTCTCCATCCTCCCTTCCTCTGCCAGAGAAGGAGCGGGGTGAGGAGAGGGAAACTTATCCCTCCCAGGCCTGAGCTCTGTAATTGGATGGAGACTCAGGAGATGTCAGGCGATGAAAAAGATCCAGGCGGCCTGTGACTAATCCAGAGCTGGCTGTAATTTTCATTCTCTGTGCTTTCTAATGGGAATATAAAGAAAGTTTTGGACTCTGAAGGAGAGGAAAGCAAGAAGAAGTCTTTTTTTAAGGGGGAAAAAAAAGAGCTTTCTTTATTCACAACCTCATTGTCCGTTGAGTAAAATTTATCACTTTTGTAAAACCTTTTATTTTCTGGTAGTAAAGTTCAAACCCAGTTGAGATTATATTCCCTCCCATGTACCCAAGTGTGATTTCTCTTAACATCAATTCCCTTTCTATCAAAATTTGAGCGTGTTGAAAATTTCAGTAAAAGTGGACGAAGCACAAGATTCTTTTCCATCCAATGACCAGAAAAAAAAGGAGATGCTCTGCCTTATCTCCTTTTAGATGACACCAAACACTCTCCAAATGGAATAACAGAAAGCAGAAAGCAGTATCCTTCCAGGATTGTGGTGTAGGAAGAAAAGAGGTAACAGAAACCAAAACAGGGGTGGTGAATGACACGTGGGCCACATGGCTGCCACAGGTAGCAGGAATTCACACAGTAATCCCAAGTGCTTTCCCAGGAATTGTCTTCTATGTTATTTTGATTTTTTGTTTTTTTGAGACAGGGTCAGCTGCCCAGGCTGGAGTGCAGTGGCACAATCACAGCTCACTATAGCCTCTGCCTCCTAGGTTCAAGTGATCTTCCTACCTCAACCTCCCAAGTAGCTGAGACCACAGGGGCACGCCACTATGTCCGGTGAATTTTTTTGATTTTCTATAGAGATGGGGTTTCACCATGTTACCCAGGCTGTCTCTAACTCCTGATCTCAAGTGATCTGCCCACCTCTGCCTCCCGAAGTGCTGGGATTACAGGCAGAGTCGCCTTACCCAGCCGTCTTCTGTTATTTTAAATGAACACTCACTTTGGCATTCAGACATGAGGAAGCTTTATTGGCCTTATGGATGACCAAGAGTTTATTGTAATTTTCCTTTGGGAGATAGAACAGCTGCCAAGCAGCTAGAGAGTGAAGAAAATTGGTTGAAATGCTAAGACTTTGTGTTTGGTGATTCGAGACCTGGGTTCTAGTCATTGTGCCACTAAATAGCTGTGTGACTTCAGGCGAATCACTCCCTCTCCCTGAGTTTCACTTTCTTTATAAGAGATGAATTCAACTATTTTTTCCCTGTCTCTTCAAGCTCTGAGACTCTGCAATTATAGCACTCAATACTAGCGAGGATGTTAAAATTATTACGTGAGCAGTTAATTATAAAATGTGAATTAAGGAATGAATTCCTATGGCACCTTGAGCATAACTAGTAGCATTTTACCAATCACCTCTAGGAACATCCTGAGATGTAGACTTAACAGCAAATCAATAAATTCCAGAGAGCAGGAGACATCTATTGTATGAACAAAGTAGCAATTGGTGAACTGATTCTTATCTGAATGAGGGGAGCCCTACTTTTTTGAACACCTGCTGTGCCAGGCATTGTGGTATGCCCTTTACATCCATTTTCTCATTAAATTTTTGCAACAGTCCTGTGAAGTTGCTACTCTAACCATTTTACAGATGAGGAAACTAAGACTCAGAGTAAGTAGGTAAACTTACTCATATCATTCAGATCAGACTCAAAGCCACGTGGCTGTGACTCCATGCTAATATCCTTGGGCAATGTACTCTGCTTCCTCATTCATTAGAAAAGCCACAAAGACCTGAAATATTAATAGCAACACATCCTTAAGGGTAAGAATTTTGTTTTGATTACAAATCCTCTCTTATGCCCAGATCAGGGCTTGCACATAGTTGGTTCTCATTCAAAGTTTGTTCAATGGAAAACTGCCCCCCGCTTGCAGACATGGCCCATGTCTTCTTGGGGTTTCCAGTCTTTAAATCAGTGCTACCAGCAGAATGTTCTGTGTTGAGAAAAAATTCTTTTTCTGCACTGTCCCATTGGTACCCACCAGACACGTGGCTACTGAGTACCTGAAATGTGTGTAGGATGCCCGAGGAACTCCATTTTAAATTTTATTTAATTTTAATGACTGTTAATGTAAATAGCCACATGTGACTTGTAGTTGCTATAACTGTAGGCCTAGGGTCAAACAGGTGTAGAATTTGGGACATGAAGCAGGCATTTGGATTTACTACTGAAAAAACTAGACTCTTTGAGATTCAATACCTTGTCCAAGGAGTCATGTACTGAAAGGGGTGGATCCCATGATTCAGTCCTGAGTTTTGCTGATGTAACCCAAACTCATACTTTCTCCACCCTCTTCCTGTACCACATTACAGAAAAAAGAGTCAAGAACCTTGGGCTAAAGAAGCCCTAAAACATAAACAAATGGAAGTATCAAATGATCATTTCCATGATTTCAGATGGTATCACATGGGGAATTTGATCACCCTTCAGAAGAGGGAATCTACTGCCTTTTCACAAAGGTCGCTGGATAAGAAAGTTGCCACAGTCCAATAAAATCTGCAGACCATCACTGGCCCTGGGGTTCTACTACCCCCGGGTGCCAACAATTAGTTCACATCCTGTATTAGTCCATTTCCATGCTGCTGATAAAGACATACCCAAGACTGGGTAATTTATAAAGAAAAAGAGATTTAATGGACTCACCATTCCACGTGGCTGGGAATACCTCACAATCATGGTGGAAGGCGATGAATGGGGACAAACTGGAAAAAGCGGGTGCTCCCATCAGGCAGGCTTCAGTTTGAGTCCTGGCCCTTCCTCTTAGGCAAAGGACTTCATCTCTGTAAGCCTCTTTTGCTCACCTGTAAAATGGGGATAAAAATCCCCCGCTCCCCTTGGCTGGTTTTGAGGATGGCATGAGGCAGTGAATCCATCTAGAGCTTGTGGAATGCAGTCGGCAGTCTCTCGTGTTGGCTAGTTCGTTTATTGTTACGAACACAGACATTCTGGCAGGGCAGCCAATTTCTAAATCTCTTGTTTCCTGGAGGTTTCCATTGTGAATTATTTAAGAGGAGGCTTCACAGTGTCTAGGAATAGCTACATCTTTACAGTGCAGGCCTTCAAGAAATTGATGTTCAGAAGATACAGGCTGTCCCCCTCCTCCGGCCCCAGCTACATCTTCCAGACACTTACTAAGGCCCTTCAGAGCTGATTAAACTGAAATCACAGGCAGCATTTGCCTAATATAAAATATGCACAGGAACACTATCTTAATTAGATGTACATGTCTCTGAAGATATAAATAAATGCTTCCTTTTTGATACGTCTGATTTAATAGCCTAATAGCAGGGGAATGCTGCTGAAATATAATTCAGGGGGTGAGGGAGAAATTAATAAACTCAAATATTTAAAGCTCAACAGCAATTAACAACCCATTTAAAGCAAATTTCCGAATTTTAATTTTATTTATCCTTATCCAACCAGGACTAAGCCTGGGGTTCATCATTATTCACTTTCACACCTAACAGGGTGCTCTGCCCTTTGCCTGGGAGGCCTTCTCCAATTCCATTACGCAGGGGCTGCGGAGCGTGGTGCTCAAGGCATGGGGGAAATGTGGGAGTCCCACCTGAGTGGCCACAGACACAACACTTTCCTTTTCCCCGTGGACTGTTTTTCCTTCTCTCGCTTCATGGGGAACTTGGGCTTTTATTTTTGTGCTGCACGTTTAACTGCACACCTAGGCTCATACACAAAGCCAGGATCGTTGTTTTCTTTAGGGTTCCCAGGCATCAAAGAACATCCACCTCAGTGACCTCTGTCAGCTAAGGCGGAGCCCTGAGCCCTGAGCCCCTCTGTGCTGGTATCGAGCAGGTATGATTAGGCATCTTCAGGCATGTATACCTAGAAATCAGCTTAGAATGAGAACCCTCATTCTTTTTAATAAAAATATATATTTTTTTATTATTTATATAAAGACGGGGTTTCACCATGTCAGGCTGGTCTTGAACTCCCGACCTCAGGTGATCCGCCCGCCTTGGCCTCCAAAGTGCTTGGATTACATGCATGAGCCACCATGCCCGGCCTAATAAAAATATTTTTTTAGCATTTTAATTATTTATCAGATTATAATGTGGCAGTAAAAGTCACTTTATACAATGACATCACATGTATATTAACAAATCAATCTTCTTCATTCATGTATTTTTTTTTTTTTTAGACAGAGCCTCTTGCTCTGTCACCCAGGCTAGAATGCAGTGGCACCATCTCTGCTCACTGCAGCCTCCGCCTCCCAGGTTCAAGTGGTTCTCCTGCCTCAGGCTCCCGAGTAGCTGGGATTACAGGCACCCGCCACCACGCCCAGCTAATTTTTGTTTTTGTTTTGGGATGGAATTTTGCTCTTGTTGCCCAGGCTGGAGTGCAATGGTGCTATCTTGGCTCACTGCAACCTCCACCTCCTGGATTCAAGTGATTCTCCTGCCTCAGCCTCCTGAGTAGCTGGGATTACAGGTGGGCACCAACATACCGGGCTAATTTTTGTATTTTTAGTAGAGACAGGGTTTCACCATATTGGCCAGGATGGTCTCGATCTCCTGACCTCATGATTCACCTGCCTCAGCCTCCTGAAGTGTTGTGATTACAGGTGTGAGCCACTGCACCTGGCCTTCTTCAACAACTTCCTATGCTCGTGCTTAGCAGGGAACAACTCAAAGGGGCTGGAAAGTGAGGAGCGACATTGTGTGAGGTCCGAGACCAATGCTTCCAGGCCGGCCTTCTGTGTGCAGAGGTTCCAGGCAAGGAGGCCCTTAATGTGGCCCCATATTGCAAGGGCAGCAGCTTCTAGAAACATTGCCATCACTGTCCTGTCCCTCTGCATGACTTTGTTCCATCTAACACACCCACAGACCCCTCTCTGACAGCCACCCTGCTCCCCCACCAACAGGCCCCAGAGCCATGTGTATACCACACGTCTCTGCCCATTTGGTCTCATCTGGGGCCTCTCCCCGTGGGATTGTCTCCACTGATTTGGAATTGGTATTTTGAGGTGCTGCCTCCCTCCTGCGGACTTGAGATGAGGGGAAATCGGGATGTGGTGGGGTGGCCATCGTGACCTGTTGGACAGAGGTTAGGGAAGCTGGGCCACAGAGAGGGAGCAGCACCCTGTGGGGAACCCAGGCCCGGGGCCTGGGAGGCTCCTTACCGTCTGCTCTCCAGCCTTGGAAGGCCTGGCGGGGCTTCCGGCCCACAGCTCCTGTTTATCTCAAGAGTAAATTCCTCTTTGTTCTTTGCTGAAACTCACATGGGTCTTGACAGTTGTACCCAAATAATAATAATAATACTGAAAGCAAAGTCTAGATAGTCATCATGACTAAGGAAGGCTGTGGCATCGCTGGGCAACTCCAGAACATTGCAGAAAGCAGTAGAGTGGACAGGAGTCTGACGTGCATCAGGAGAAGGTGGCCACGCGGCGGGGTTTGTCCTCTTTGCGGCTGTGAGGAAGGAAGGGAACAGGACCCTCCTGTGTCGCTGAGTGAGTGCTCAGTGACATGGCCAGGGCTGCCCAGAGCTCTGCGTGGTGCTGTGGGGTGCTTCGTAGAAGCAGAGGGTCGACCAGCAGGAGGGCACGCCTGGCATCACAGGCTCCCCCAGTCTCGGAGGGCACTTATTTCCTCGGACTGCCGTAACTAACACCACAATCTTGGTGGTTTAAGACAACAGAAATATATATTTTTTTTATTTATTTATTTTGAGACAGTCTCACTGTCACCCAGGCTGGAGTCAGTGGTTCAGTCTTGACTCATTGCAGCCTGAACTTCCCAGGCTGAAATCATCCTCCCAGCCTCAGCCTCCCAAGTAGCTGGAACCACAGGCACCTGCGACCATGCCCAGCTAATTTTCTAAAAATCTTTTTGTAGAGATGGGGGCTCACTGTGTCACCCAGGCTGATCTGGTCCTTCTCGCCTCAGCCTCCTAAAGTGCAGGGATTACCAGCTGAGCCACTGCATTCGGTCTAAGACAGCAGAAATCTAGCTTCTCGCGCTTCCGGAAGGCAGAAGTCTGAAATCGAGGTGACAGCAGGGCTGAGCTTCCCTCACAGGCTCTAACAGAGATTCCGTTCCTGCCTCTTCTCACTTCTGGGACTGCATGAGTCCCCTGCCTGTGGCCACGCCACTCCAGGCCGTCTTCGTCTTCACATGGGCTTCCCCTCTTCTGTCTCTCTCCTGTGTGCGTATGATAAGGACACTGATCACTGGATTTGGAGCCCACCTGGGTAACCCACGACGGTCTCAGCTCCCTCAATTTCATTATGCCTGCAAGGGCACCTTTTCCAAATAAGGCCACATTCACAGGCTCCTGAGTGAGGAAACGGAATCTTTTGGGAGCCACCACTCAACAGCCCCCACCCTCCATGATAAAGAGCAAGAAAGGAACGCTCATGGTGGAACATGTAAATGACACATCTTTCCTCTTACTTCATAGTTAACGTTTGCAAATTTTCTTTTAATTAAACTTTCTCAGCTGGGCGCGGTGGCTCATGCTTGTAATCCCAGCACTTTGGGAGGCCGACGCGGTGTATCACATTAGGTTAGGAGTTTGAGATCAGCCTGGCAGACATGGTGAAACCTTGTCTCTACTAAAAACACAAAAATTAGCCAGGCATGGTGGCAGGTGCCTGTTAATTCCAGCTACTCCCGGAGACTGAGGCAGGAGAAATACTTGAATCCAGGAGGCAGAGGTTGTGGTTAGCCGAGATCCTGCCACTGCACTCCAGCCAGAGCAACAGGAGAGAAACTGTCTCAAAAACAAACAGAAACTTCTCTTGCTGCATAAGGGCCAGCTTATTTCTAGGGGAGGATTTTGTGCATCATTTGCGCTGCTCTGGGGAAGGAGGTGCTCAGTTTTCTCAGTGGGAGGTTGAGCCAAATGAATACATTATTCTAAGGGCCACGTAGGTCAGTCATACCGAAGGCTTCCCCATCTCATCCTAACACTCATGCTGGAGGCCCAGCGTTTCCTTTCAGGACATGTGGGATGCGCAGGAGGAGGAGGAAGCCGACCACCACTGGGGCGGGCAGGCTTGATGTGCCACGGCGCTCGTGTGGGACTGGTGGCTATGTGGGTAGTGCCAGTGACAGAGACACTATGGTGATTCCAGGCAGGAGATGAGGGATGTGGCAGGTGACAGGGCCCAACAGTAAATTAGTACACTACAATAAGGAGAGAGAATGGGAAGGTCTACTAAATTTTTCCTATTAGTTAAGCTTCCCTCCCCTTTTTTTCCCCCTGAGCAACCTTCAGTGACACACGGATATGTGAAGCTAATGGGGTAGGTCAGAGAATTCACAGCAGAGATGCATAGTCCACTCAGGAACCGACAGGGGAGCCAGAGCTAGACATGAGCTAGCTAGATTCTGCTGTTTTCTGCGACACCGCCGTTACCATGCTGCCCCTCCAGAGGTGTCCAGGCTCTCTTCCCGTTCAAGTTTCAGATTCCTAAGAGAGAGAGTGTGATCAGCTCAGGACTGACCAGCCTGGCATAGACATGGATACTTTGGACATATTTGGAAGCTGGCAACATCACCCCAACTGGGGTCTAGGACAGAGCTCTCAGGAGTTAGGTGAGAAGGAGGTGGCCCAAGGGCACAGGGCTTCAGGGAGGGCCTGGGACTGGGAACTGGGCTTCAGGCTGCTGGGCCTGCAGGCAGGAAGGCCAGCGCAGGGGCAGGTCTGAAGGTGAGCAGCACAGAGCCGCGGCTTCCAGACCTCTCTGTCGAGAGACCTCTTTGCCCTCTTAAAAATTATTCAGGACCCCAAGGTGGTGGCCTGTTTCTATCCATATTCACCTCATTCGAAATTCAGACTGAGACATTTTACAGATACAAGAACACACAAGCACACGTTCCATCAGTTGTCAGAGCGATGTTGTGACCATTCTTTTAGCAGCTGGCACCAGGCTGCCCCAGAGAGTATTAAGTGAAAGTGGCAAGTGACATCTCATTGTGACTTAGCAGGAGTTTTTACCTTGGAGACCCTCTGAAAGGGCGATGCCTAGGGTCCCCAGACCACACGTGGGGCACTGTTGGCCTGGCGGCCGGGAACCTGCGCTTGAGAGCAAGACTACCTGACTTGAAAGCTTGCTCCACCGCGGCCCCTCCCGCAGGGCTTTTATTTGGTGCCTCCACACCTTCAGCTGGAAATGATGGTGCCTTCCTCATAGAGCCCCTGGGAGGGTGAAAGAGATGATCCCGGAAGAGTCCCTAGAACAGGGCCTCACAGGTGGTACGGAGTCAAACACCCTCAGTGTGGTATACACAGCGTGCTGCCAGGAGAAGCCCGTGGGCCTCAGATCCCAGGTGTGGTGGCTGGCAGGAGCCTGAGACTGCCCCCAGGACCCAGAGGTCCTCATTAAGGCTCTGGCTCCGGGAGGAGGACTAAAGCTGCGTTGCCCCCACTGGGAGGGGCCTGAGCTTGCCGTGCTGTGCTATGGGGGGCTCCGTGGGCTTTGTTCTCAGGAGCTGCTGGGGTGACAGTCCGCAGAATGAGATGCAGTCTGGTAGCCCGGCAAAGATGAATATCAGAAAAAGATCTTTTTAATGGGAAAAATAACTGGTATTGCTGAGATACGGCTTTCTCTGCATCAATCAATAAAAATGTGAAATTAAGCCAACTTATGAATATTTCATATGTAACAAATCCAAGTTGTTAATGCTCAAAAATGATTAAAAGTGGCCAGGTGCGGTGGCTCACACCTGTAATCCCAGCACTTTGGGAGGCTGAGGCAGGTGGATCACCTGAGGTCAGGAGTTCGAGACCAGCCTGGCAAACATAGTGAAACCCTGTCTCTACTAAAAATACAAAAATTAGCTGGGTGTGGTGGTGCACACCTGTAATCCTAGCTACTCGGGGGGCTGAGGCAAGAGAAGTGCTTGAACCCGAGAGGTGGAGGTTGCAGTGAGCCGAGATTGTGTCACTGCACTCCAGCCTGGGTGACAGAGAGAGACTCCGTCCCAAAAAAAAAAAAAAAAAAAAGATCAAAAGCTGGTCAATATGCATCTGACCTGAATCTTTCTGGCATCAGTTCTGCAGAACCCAGGAGCAGCTCAGCAACTGGCAGTGTACACATCCCCTCGGGGCCAGCTCCAGGACCAGCTCGTAGGGTTCTCTGAAGCCTAAAATGTTGCCTGATAAGGGGTTTGGGAGGTTTGTATCACCATGGATTCTTGAAGGCCCAAACACCTCTCAAGACTCAAAGGAATGAACTTGAAGTGGAAAATCAAACTCACTGCTGTTAAATTCGACTGGGCTTCCTTCCAGCCCAGAATTGTGCTGTTGGTGGGCAAGGGCCAGCCAGGACTCTGTCGACTCCCAGTTGACACTGTCACATGAACATCTACCAGAAAGGCTTAGAACCAGAAGCCTTGGGGTTCTTCACACCCAGCTCTTTAGAGCTGCTGGCATCTCAGTACAGTGTTCTTTCCTTATTTTTCTTTTTTTTGAAATGGAGTTTTGCTCTTGTTGCCCAGGCTGGAGTGCAATGGCGTGATCTCGGCTCACCACAACCTGCCTCAGCCTCCCAAGTAGCTGGGATTACAGGCATGTGCCATCATGCCCAGCTAATTTTGTATTTTTAGTAGAGACGAGGTTTCTCCATGTTGGTCAGGCTGGTCTCAAACTTCTGACCTCAGGTTATTCGCTCGCCTCAGCCTCCCAAAGTGCTGGTATTACAGGTGTGAGCCACCAAGCCCGGCCCAGTGCTCTTTCTAGTAATGCACCCACTCCTCTGATCCCACAGCTGCTGGGGAACAGCTCAAAGTAGAGCTGTGACCATGGATCTCAAAGGCGCCCGACCATGAGTCAGTCTTGTGGGGGTTTCGTCAGCTCTGCTGAGCTGGCCCACTCTGGTGCCACCTGTGGGAAGAAGGACATGAACCCACACATCTGCTCACACCAGTCCCTTGCTCCAAACCCTTCGGGCCTTTCCTGTTCACGTGTCTCAACCTGGGTTCCTCATAAGCGCTTGTCTTCCTGAAGGACTGATTTTATTTAAAGTTCTAGTGGAAAAAGACACCATTATTTTTCATTTTAATTAAGAAAGGAAGCAAAATTCCCCTGAATCTAGGATAATACAGGAACTTTGGCGCTTCACATTATTGCTACTCATTAAGGGGGACGAGTTTAGTTTTCTCTAACAATGGGGCTCCTTTAGGGGAAGTATAAAGAGAAACAGGACAAAACCCTCCCTCCTGATGGCCTCCAGATCCTCCAAGGTTCGACCTTGCCATGTGCACAGCCTCCATCCCTGCACTGGAAGGGCTGGGGCCACACTGAGTCCCTGGGATGCCCAGTGCACTCTGGGACCTGCCACTCTGCACTCACTGCCCCTGTAACTCAGCGTGTCTCCATCTGGGTGCCATTAACCTTGGGGGTGGGTGACTATTCTCCTGCAGGGGCTGTCCTGGGCATTGTTGCCACGTCCCTGCCTGGCCTCGACTCACTAGAGTAGCACCCCCAAGTCAGGACAATCAAAAATGTCTGTAGAAAATGCCAAATGTCCTGTGGTCAAACCGCCCCTGCCTCCAGCCCTGCTTGGATGGGAGCAGGCTTCTTGAGGCGCTCTGCCTAGTGATCTGACTCTTCTTTTATGCTGCAGTGCAAACATCGCCTCCCCTGTGAGGTTTACTGTGACTGCCCCAGGCAGCTTCGATGTCCTCGCCCTGCCAGCTGTAGAGTTTGATTGGTCTGCACCCATTCCGTGCTTATTTATGAGAATGTAATTGTATGCCCACCCTGGTTAGACTACGAACCTAGAGGTCAAGGAGGATGCCTGCGACTCTACACGCTTCCATCCTCAGCACTTAGCACACTGTCTGATCTACTGAAGGAGTTGCGGAAATGCAGAAGGAATGGGCGAATGGGAGGTTGGCCATTGGAGGCTGGGACTCCCCCCATGAGGACTCCTCAGCGAAGCTTCACGATTGTCCCTTCCTCTCAGATCACCCAAAAGCGCAGCCACCGGCATAATCTTGGCATCACTACACCACGTGATACTTGTTTGAAACCTAATTTTGCCAAAGAAATAACCCAGATTTGTATTAGTGGTTGTACACATGGTAGCAGTGGTAAAGTAATGGCAGCTGCTGGGGCTGTATGAGCACCAGGTGTTTTCACTCTAACTGCTCACCCTCACTACCTTTCTGTGATCTACACCTTATTATTCTCATTTTACAGATGGGAAAACTGAGGCTCTGAGAGACTCATTCACAAGCTCAGCATCTTAGTGGCCGTGGGATCAGAATCTAAGGCAATTTTCTCCAAACACCAGTTGCTGCCCTGTCTTTGGTTTCTAAATTGTTATTCTTAAGGGTGATTCTCAACAAGCAGGCATTTAAAATCGGAATGTCCAAAGTGTGCCAGATGAATGAGTTACTGATGCCTTGCTGCAATTTGTGTCACTTCTTATCATTGCAACGAACATCAAATTCTATCAAAATATGGGAAAAAATCATTTTGATGTTGCATTTGCATATCCAAGGATTGCAGGATGGTTTGTGTAATCAAATTATGTAGAGTTGTAAAAAGGGAGCATCATTTAAATAGCTTACAAAATTACTTTGAAGATGCACATTAAAATCTAAAGAACCCATCGCCTCCAAGATCTTTACAAAAAGTTAAATGCTAATTGATTATGACAGCTTTGTCTTTATCACTGGCACCATTCTCCATTTCTACTCTGTCAATATCACAGCTCAAATATCACTCTGTCCTCTGTTCCTCGTCTAACCACATTCATTCCACGCTGTAATAACAGATGGAAGTTTATGCATGACTAGCTTTTCCCCCTTCTCGCCATTGTTGATCAAAAGGAGCAGCCCGAAAAAAAAACAGAATTTGCTGAAATTCTGATTTCTTTCAGCAGTTTTATAGATTTTATAACTTATCTTTTATTGACTATGCAAGGTCTCTGCTCCCCAGCATCTGTTGGTTGCATCTGGGGAGAAAGATAAATTCCCTTTTCTTTAATGCTACTGAACCAAATTTAAGAGATAGACAAACAAACAGGTCTCAGTAGAAGAGGACAGCATCACATCCTTCTTCTGCAGCCCAGCTGTCCTCTTTCCCAATCCCTGTGTGGGCAGGACAGGAGGAGGAGGAAGTGCCTTGTAGACCATGGAATCTGCCAGCCCATCAGCGATGAAGGTGCCACAGACTGGCTAATGGGGCTTAGGGAGGTGCTCCCCCCAGAGAGGGGACCTGGGGTCATAGCTATGAGCACAAACTTTGAAGAGGCTGCTTTGTAAACTTTATAAAAAATTCACATCATTTACAATTTCTCAGACTTAAAGAATTGTGCCCGGTCACCCAGAGACATGATTATACATCACAGAACTTCATTATAATAATGGCCCCGGTACTCCAACTTCTTGAAAGCCTCAGCTGTTCGATTCAGCCTCTTCAGCTCCGTAACTGTTTATAAGATTAATAGACTCTGATGCATAATTGACTATCGCACCAGGAGGAAAAAAAAAGGAGAGAGAGTCTAATCGTAGCCCTGGTAAAAGCAACATTCCCATAAAGAGATGGTGTTTGTCCACATGGACAGGGTCGAGGATGAGGAGAATGGCTAGCACCACCAAGTCAGGAGAGAAGGGGAGATGGATGAGAAGTCAGCCCCGGGGAAGGGAGTCTTGGAAAGTCTGATGGACATGTCCCATCACTTAGAGGCTTCAGTGAACACCCTAAAAACTCTGCTCATTGCAGAACTGGGTGGGATTCAGGGCTACAGCAGGGAGCAGGGGAGCTAGGAAGAGGAAAGAAAGAGGACAAGAAGGTCCCACAATGCAGGAAGTGGAAGGAAATAGGGAATCCACAGAGCAGCGGGATGGGGTAAGAGCTTGACATCTAGTGGCAGGGAGCTTAGAGAGAGAATGAGTGCCCTGGCCCCCCTTTCCCTTGCTGAGGTTATGGTTACCAGGTGTCACACCAGGTCCCGCAGAAGACCAGACACACTCTAGGAATTACGGCAGGGCAGGCCTTTCTCAAGGCAGAGGAGCAAGGGCATCACTGCAGGCTGGAGGGAATGGAGGCCTTGGGTGAGTGAGTGGTGGGGAAGCCACCGCCACACAGGGGATGGGCAGTGGCCAGGGCTCAGAGGCTGGGCAAGCTCCAGAAGGCTTGGAGAGGGGCCCAGCTGGACCAAGGCAGGCCCCAGATGGCCAGGGCAAGAGCACCCCTGAGCTTCTAGGCTTCCATCAGGGGGTCCCTGCATGCTCAGCCTGTCATTTGTATAAAACTTGAATAAAGGAGTGAGTCTAACCAAAAGGTGGAAACGGCAAGCCCAGTGTTCTTTGCTAGCCTACCTTTCCCCTGCTCTCCTTTACCTGCCCCTCTTCTCAGGACTTACTTCATTCTTCTGGAAGAAGTCTTGCAGTCTTCCTGGAAAACAAACACAACAGAAAAGCAAGCAAGATGAGAGAAGACTGACATGGAGACAGCCTTATTTTCAACTCTGTAGTGAGAGACGCATGCCGGAGAGACCTCACCCTGTTGTTAGAGGGAAGAGCAATGTGAGTTAATTTTTCATTGTCATCAGATTTGTGCTCCTTTCTCTTTGCTTAAGTAACTACCTTTGGCTGGACCTCCGTGGCATCTGCAGCTGCTTCTCCAGTTCCTGGAAAACCCCTGAGGGCGTTGCAAAGATAAGTCTTATCTCTGCCTCTGTTTTACTTGGAGCTGACCACCAAATGACCCCGGAGTGTAGAAGCGCAGCAGGCTCCTATTAATGTGGCCACAGATTCACACGTTTGCCTGATGAAAACCTGGGGCCAAGGAATAAAGTCGTATTGTGGACTTGGAACCCTCCTAGTTATTTAGATGTGAACTCACACTCTTGTTCCTCTCTGAGAGACACAGCACATTGTTTGTTTGTTCGTTTGTTTTGAGACAGAGTCTCGCTCAGTCTTGCAGCTTGAGTGCAGTGGCGCGATCTCGGCTCAGGCAACCTCTGCCTCCCCGGTTCAAGTGATTCTCCTGCCTCCGCCTCCTGAGGAGCTGGAACTACAGGCCCGGGCCACCACGCCCGGCTAATTTTTGTATTTTAGTAGAGACAGGGTTTCACCATGTTGGTCAGCTGCTCTCGGACTCCTGACCTCGTGATCCACCCGCCTCGGCCTCCCAAAGTGCTGGGATTACAGGCGTGAGCCACCGCGGCCGGCCAACACAGCACTTTTTTTTTTTTTTTTTTTTTAGATGCAGTTTCGCTCCAGTTACCCAGGCTAGAGTGCAGTCGTGTGACCTCGGCTCACCACAACCTCCACCTCCTGGGTTCAAGCAATTCTCCTGCCTCAGCCTCCCGAGTAGCTGGGATTACAGGCACGCACCACCATGCCCAGCTACTTATTTGTATTTTTAGTAGAGACGGGGTTTCACCATGTTGACCAGGATGGTCGCGATCTCTTGATCTCGTGATCCACCCACCTCGGCCTCCCAAAGTGCTGGGATTATAGGCGTGAGCCACCGCGCCCGGCCCAGCCCATTTTTAAAAGTGCATCTTGCATCATGGATTGAAAGGCTAAGATCTGACCATTGGATCTAGCATAAAGCCCCTCTCTCTGCCGGGTAACTCTACATTTAGTCCTTCCTATTGTCATCAGGGGAAAAGAAGTAGGGGCTGATCAAACAAGAAGAGAAGGCCCAGGATCAGTGTATTGACTTCTAAGAACTATTGGTCTTTTGCAGTGAAGGTTAAAAAAAAATCCCTTAGGGCCTGTTGGGTGCTAATTTGACCTGGCAATGAGATAAAGTTAGGCCTTGGCTGTCTTCAAGCAGCTGGGATCGGAATGCCATCTACTCAGCATAGGAGTCAAAGAATTCCCTGGCAATTGATTGCTTTCCACTTGCAGAGCTACTGAATAAATAGAAAAGTAATTAGCAGTGTGCTAGGGCTAGATGTATCAGGTGGAATTTCTTTACAGCAGAAAGAACTAAGAGAATCAAGAAGTCATTTTGTGTCCACTGTCAGATGAGTCGTTCTGTTTCTTTCTCTAGGATGGACACGTTATCTCTGCTTTTCTTCAAGAAGAAAAACTTTGGAATTTCCTATCGTATCTTCACTTTAATCAAGGGGAAAAGAAGAAAAGTCTTAAGTGCCTAAAATTGGTCCAAAAATAAAGAATTCTTTTCGCTTTTCCATTTAATGATTTTGCTCCTGAAACCTATGGATGATTTTCTTTTGTTGTATTTTTTGTTTTTTCCTCAACTATTAAATATATGAATTTTGAAATGTGAACTGAAGGTCTCATTATGAGTTCTTCTCCCTTTGAAAAATAAATGGCATTATGTCATTTACAACAGCAGGAAGAGATGGAGTTTCACATGAAGGAAATTTATGCTCAGTTGGAAAGAGAAAAGGCGTCTAAGCCATTTATTTTTAGATGCCTTTAAAAATATATATTTGAAAGTACTAAACTCAATTTCACATGTCCAGAATGGTATAATCTAATTTTAGTATATTAATTAACAATAAAAGTAGTGTTTTGCCTCATACAAAGGAATAAAGTAATTAACTTACTGAGGAAATGGGGTCATATGATTTTACTTTGAGAGGATAATGAATGACACTGGGTAACTGTAACACAAGGGTTTTGCAGAGCTGCTCTGGCGGTGGAGCCTGTTTGGAATTCTCTGTGGAACACCTCACTAAGAACCAGCTTTCTCCCCGCGAAGCCTCACCTGTCTTGACTCAGACTAAGTGTGCACACGTCAGCAAGGCCGGCCAGTGCTCGTTAGGAAGAGCGCTGCGTGCAGGGGAGGCGTGTGTCCGAGGACTCTCCAGGCTTAGTTGAGGGTCCAGACACTCCCCAAATCAACATGTCCTTGGGCTGGCTTGAGCACCAAGGTGCTTTCTACTTGAGGAAGGAATTCCAGCATTTTACATCTTACATATTTGGACCTTTGAACTTGAAATATTTTGTTACACTTCACATAGCTTCATTCCCTGGGGGGGAGAAACCTAGTCTTTCAAGTGGTTATTATAAAGCTAAGTACATAAATATGCATGAGAGGCCATTATTACCACAAGATGATACTTAAAATGTTCAAGTGCCTCTTACTAAGATTTTTTGACTTGTTCAGTGACAGCAAATCAAAGTCTCCAGTGTTTTGTTGCTGAACTTTGCCTTTGATTGTTCTTTCAAAGTTTTCAAGGAAAGGGAATGGTTTTTGGAGGCCTGACTGGGATTCATTCATTCATTCATTCAACACATATGTAATGAGGTTTAATTACCCATGTCCATGTTTAATGCAGAATGTCCTATTGAAGGCATTGTAGCCAGAGCTCTGGAGGTTGGGTCATGGAATTTCCAGATTTTAGATCTGGAACTGAGGCACAGAGAGGCTAAGTGGCTTTTCTCATGTCACATTGTGACATATAGTTGAGGCTGACAATCAGACCTGGCACTCCGCGCCAGGTTAGGGCTGGTGAGTCAAGGCCTCTGAAAGGCTCGAGGGCCCAAAGTAGTGGGTCCCCCGGGAACCATAATACTGAAGAGTTGCATTTTGATCCATTTTTTACTTCTAGAACTTAATATTACAATGTGGAAATATTATATAGTGTTATCAGAACCTTCAAGGCTCTTAAACATGACCTTCACATTCGGAATTGACTCCAGTTCAACCCTATGCCTGCAGCAAGTTCCCACTGGGAGAAGATAAAATTTTCATCTCTGGAACTAATAACCCATGCTGCCCTGTTCTCCATGGGAAGGGAGAAATGGCAATGGAAACCAACATGGAGCCAGAGAGAGGAAACAGGTCTACCAGAAGCCTCAGATTTTCCCTCTCTGGGAGAAGGACTACCAGGCAAGTAGCCCTTGGGTTCTGACAACTTGGGTTTTAGTCCCAAGTGAACAAAGTGTAAAGAAAGCCTTTAAAGATGTCTGCTTCCGGGATCCCAATCTCTGATTTACAGGCAGAATCTTTGGAAAGTGAAATAGGTGGAACCCACCCAGGGTGTGCCCTCTTCCCTGTTCATCCCCAGTGTGACCCAGGCACCTTTGGTATTTCCCACCCAGCTTGCCCTGGGTTCTCAGGTGGATCTTGCTTGAGGACGTTGCAGTAAAAGAAAGCCCTGTGAAAGGCAGTGCCAAGCTCTTGTAGAGACCGGCCCTAGTGCTCACTGCAGGATGACTAGAATTAGCAGTAATATATTATGTACTTGCAAACAGCTAGAAGGAGACTATTGACTGCTCTCGACACAAATAAATGATAAATGTTTGAGATGATGCATATGCTAATTACCCTGATCTGATCACTATACATTAGAGGTATTGAAACACCACTGTATACCCCCATGAATATGTACAATGATTATCTGTCACATTTTTAAAAGTTAAAATAAAAATAAATCAGGGCTAATCTGCCAGTGAACTCGCAGTCCATGGGCAATGCTCCCCACAGTGCCGCACTTGGAATCATCCTCCTGTGGGAAGGTCTCTTACCTTCTCATTGACCGTTGTCCACAGCTGACACATTCTATAACCGATTTCTATCTGACCTCATCCTTTAGGTGCATCGTGCGGCCATGGAGAATGGTGGGAGGGGCTTGCACTGGGAAGCCAGTCTGGATTTGAATCTGTGCTCCTTCGCTCATTAGCTATAATTCAAGCAAGTGGCTAACTTCACGGAGGCTGTTTCCTCACCTGCAAACCAGGACTGACCTACTTACCTTGCTTCCAGGACTTCTGGGGTTAGAGAAGATCACACACAGGACATCTGGTCTTGCAGGGTGCTTGACAAAGGCCTGCTTCCATCACAGCCTTCCAAACTCCTTCCCAAGGAATACTCTTCCACTGTGTTTGAACTCACGCTGGGCACAGCAGAATGTCCGATAAGCATTATCATGTTTGCAAATCAGTCCTGTACATCTCTTGGTTTGTTATTTTAACACTTGTTAGTTACTAATTATATTGTGATTTGAGCTTCAAAAGAACATGCCTTTTCTTTTGTCAACCCCCTCACTAATTCAGTATTTTGTCTACCTTAGAAGCTCAAGAAGTTTGCTGACAGACTAACAGAATGATCAAATTTTCCCAAACCTAAGCCTTTTCGTTCATTTTAAATGACTGCCTTCTTCAGATGCTAGAGTTGCAAGGTCAGGAAGGAGCTCTTGAGGCCACCAGCGCCTCCTTGTTCATCGCCATGGCCTGACCACACAGACGGTCAACTCTAGAGACACGCACAGACCTCTGCAGATGCAGGAGGGACCACGAGGCAGCTCTAGTAATGGAAATTACGTGGAAATGGAATGGTTTTTGATTGTGCTCTTGGTAATCCTTCTGGCAAATCATCTCACCATTCCCAGTAACCAGGGTACACTTCCTGTTTGTGATTCTGTGGACATTTACTTTTATGTGAAATGTTTTGCTCAGAGTCTTGGTCCAGGAGTTGGCCTTACAGTTTCCTAAAGACTCACGTGTATCTATTGACCAGGCTGGTCTCACCCTGGACACATATATATTCACATTTCAGAAATTAAACATTTCCTCACCTGGCGTTGCTCCTGCCCACTGTTCATTCTGAGTTACTTGTTCAGCCAACATCGGCTGCACGCCTCCCTCCGAGGTGCCAGGCTCGGGGCTCACCCTGCTCATATGTCAGCCCCAGTGCTGGTTCTTGGCTTCCCATCCTTTGTCACCCCTCTGGAGTCCTTCTGGTTCCTGCACTTGGAGGTGCCCATACAAAATATAATATCCCGTGACAGGATGTCTCTCCATGTGCAAACCGAAATAGCGCCAGCCTCTGTGTGCCACGTTCCTCTCTAAACGCAGAGTGACATCATGTCTAGTCTCACCTCTCGTCTGTTCCGGCCTCTTTATGGCACACGCTGTGAAGGACGTTTTGAGATCTAAGGTGACTTTTTTGGCTCCTTTATTTGTAAGCTTTGAATCCATTCATATTTTTTCTCCTCATCGTTATTTGAACTCTGTCCCTGGTGGGGAATCAGACGTAGACAGCTGTCTTGTGTTTTTCAATCCATTTTTCCTTTTGCTAAAAAAGACATTTAAGGAACTACACCCAGGCTTGGAAAAGGGGCTCCATGACATTCTAGGCAAGTAACACTGTGCAGTCTTGTCTTGGGTGGCAATGGTCTCTTTATAACATTTCAGAACTACATGAGACCTTAGAAAGCTCCTGGTCCAATCCAAGTTTATGGCTTGAGAACTCAAGGTTCAGAGAAGCAAGCATTTGGCCTCAGATCTCCCAGGGAGGCTCTGCCTGAGTCAGGATTAGAATTCTGGACTCTTAATCGGGCAAGGTGGCTCATGCTTGTAATCCTAACACTTCGGAAGGTTGAGGAGGGAGGATTGCTTGAGGCCAGGAGTTTGAGATCCCATCCTGGGCCACACAGTGAGACCCTGGCTCTAAAAAATTAAAAAAAAAAGATTAATTGGATATGGTGTCATGCATGTGTAGCTCTAGCTACTGAGGAGGCTGAGGTGGGAGGATTGCTTGAGGCAAGGAGCTCCAGGCTGCAGTGAGCTATGATGGTGCCACTGCAGCCCAGCCTGGTGACACAGCAAGGCCTGTCTCTCAAAACAAAACATAAAAACATAACACATGAAAAGAATTCTGGACTCCTGGCCTCAACTTTGTGTGTGTGTGTGTGTGTGTGTGTGTGTGTGTGTGTGTGTAAGGTTATCTTTTTTTTTGAGGAGTTTCGCTCTTGTTGTCAGGCTGCAGTGCAGTGGTGCAATCTCGACTCACTAAACCCTCCACCCAGTGGTTTCAAGCGATTCTCCTGCCTCAGTCTCCTAAGTAGCTGGGATTACAGGCACGTGCTACCACGCCTGGCTAAATTTTTGTATTTTTAGTAGAGATGGGGTTTCACCCTGTTGTTCAGTCTGCTCTCAAACTCCTGGCCTCAGGTGATCCACCCGTCTCAGCCTCCCAAAGTGCTGGGAGTACAGGCGTGAGACACTGTACCCAGCTGATTGTCTTTTTTTTTTTTTTTCATAAATTAACCCATTTATTATAGGCTAGTGATGTCTCAAAGAGGAGAGGAGCCTCCACTGGTCTTTAATCCTTTAGTCCTCGGATGGCGGACTTCACTGTGACAGCAGAAGTGGTGTCAGAGGTCCAGGCAGAGGTCCTTGATGTGCTGGCTGATTTCAATTTTCTTCACCATTTTCTGGAGGGAGGCACCGTAGCAAGTCCCATATTTACCAACCATTCCGACTTTCGTGGTGCGTTCAACCATGTCACAGCCGACTAGGTTCGAGCCCAGAGAACTGAGGTTCTCTTTTTACATTAAAAATATGTATGTCAAAAAAAGAACAAAAGCAACTTCTAATGCCAAGTGAAATCATACAGTTTTCCAGTGAAATTGCATCTGAGCGTGCTATTTCCTCTCGGGCACCTGGAATCTCTATTGTTATTTACTTCTGCTGGGACCCTCTCTGTTCGCCCTGGTTCAGCTGCCCTCCAAACCCGACTGAGCCCAGAGCTGCTCCCACAGTCACGCTGTGTCTGCACTAGGTGGTCTCTGGCAATCACCACTGCTAGTGTTGCCTGCCCCACTCCGTTTCAAATTCTCTCTGGATAGCGGTTCTATTTTATTTTTTGACAACTGTCATTGTTAGAAAATTTATCTTCTAATCAAACGAGCTCTGTCTTCTCGTCGTCCTCACTATGCCCAGTTTGCTCTATGCCCTTCAAACAGACATGGCTTGCAGGCAAATGGTAGCTGGCATTGAACAGAAGGTGGGATTTTGATCCTCAGGCATCTGCTCCTGGCCACTTCTCCCCCTGACCCTGGATCTCAGCTTTCCTAGTCCCTTGACCTGTCTTATTCTGGTTCCTCACTTCATTTGCATTTTCACTGAAACTTTGTCATTCACCACCCAATGGACTGTCTTCTGCAGCTTTTTCTTGAAGCTTTCTCTAGGGTATGACTCCTAGTGTTGCCTCTGGTCTCACGGATCTTAATTGGCAGACAGTGGGCTATTCCCCAAATCAGAAGTGTATGGGACCGGTCAGGTGCCACACCCTTGCTCAGCCCCAAGACGTAGGAGTGATCATTAGGCTTGCTGGGCTCAGTTCTGTCCTCTGGGGCTGGCCAGGACACATCTCACCACTGCTAGTGTTTTGAGAGTGTGGCCCTGTCCCTTTTGTACAGCTCTTCTCTCTCTCCTACACACCCTTTCTTTTTTCTTTTCTTTTTCTTTCCTTCTTTTTTTTTTGAGACAGGGTCTCATTCTGTAGTCCAGGCTGGAGTGCAGTGCTATGATCTCCACTCACTGCAATCTTCACCACCCAGGTTCAAGCAATTCTCCTGCCTCAGCCTCCCAAGTAGCTGGGACTACAGGTGCTCTCCACCACACCTGATTAAGTTTTTTTTTTTTTTTTTTTTTGGTAGAGATGGGGTTTCATCATGTTTGCCAGGCTGGTCTCGAACTCCTGACCTCAGGTGATCTGCCCGCCTCAGCCTCACAAAGTGTTAGGATTACAGGCATGAGCCACTGTACCCAGCCTCCTACACACCCTTTCAAAGGATGGATATAAATGTATTGGTAGAGATGCTGTCTGACCTGTGTGCAGGCCAGTGGGGCATTTTCCTTCCTTTACTGGAATGTTCTATTTTCATCAGTGCAGACTCAGATCTGGGCTTTCTTTAGCAGTAACTCATACCTTGAGCTTGGGGTCAACAAAGTTCCTCCACTCTTCTCCCCCTCTGGCTTGGTCTGTCTTCTTTTCTGCCTGTGTCATTTATTTATTTCTGAACTCTTGCGTCTTGTGTTTATTTGTACTTTTACTTGGATTCATTATTCTAGCTGATTGCCAGAACCCTTTTGAATCCTCATTCTTTCATGTGCCTGTATGCTGCCTTCACGATTCTATTGTGTACAAGTTAACAGGTGAGCATTTTGTGTGTCAAAAGCACCGATGAAAGTGCTCAACTGGGTACGGGTTAGCAATTCCGCGTCAGCTTGACATATACACTGGGATCAAGCAAAGAAGTAAATGAGTGGTGGACGCTGGAATCCAGCTTTCTTCCGCTGGAGAGGGAAGTTGCAGATGCAGACGGGGAGAGGCTGCAGGATTCAAGTTAGAGACGTCGGTGTGAACTCAAGTGTATCTTAGGATAGATGCTGGGAGACGAACACGCACACAATTGACATAGAGTCCAGCTCTGTCTGCCGAGAGGTCCTAGAAGCAAGGACCCTGCAGCCGCCTCCAGGACATCTCAAGCTCACGTCCTGGTTTCTGAACACGCTTCTCCAGTGATGGGAACCACAGCTCTTTTGAGAAATGACTCGTTCTAGGACCGCATCAGGGAAAGTACAGGATGAGCCTGCAGGATCTTGAAGTGGCAAAAAGCAAGA